TTGGGCCTGCTCGGCGCACTCTAGCAAGAAGCGGGCATGGGCCAAGAAACTGGATTTCAGACCGTCTCGGACTTGTCCTCCAACCTCACCGAGGACAGCTTTCGAGCGAACTGGTGTTACGCCACCTATGCCAGCAGGTACGCGAACATTCCAGCTATCCAACAGCGCCTGGAACACAAGCAATGGGTTCGGCAGTTGCCCGACGGTGCGAACATTTTGTGCTGCCCAGAAGATATACGCTGCGTGAAGTGCACCCCGCAGTCCAGCACGTTGTGCCCGCGGTGTCGCGTCCCGCTCTGTCGCACTTGCCTGATGCGCATGACTCAACGACGACTACCTGGCGTGCCACAGGCGTTGACGAACGACAACTGGCTGGGATACCCAACAGAGCTGCTGTATCGGCGTCGGGTTCGCTGGGTCGAGGCTGCGGCCGCCTGTCCCGTGTGGACCTCAGTCGTGTGTTTCTACCTTGAACAAGACCGGGGACACTTGTTGGAAGAAGACATCCACAAGGCAGAGCACCGCGTAGCCATCCGAGGCAACGTCAGTTCCTTCAGCATGCCGTGGGAAGACATCATTGCGACCTTGGACCCAACCCAGCAAGGCCATCGGACGTGGGAGTCCTTGCCACATTCGCCCGCTACACTGCAAGCACTTGTGAAGATTACGGTTAAGGGCATGCGATATAATGAAGCACTGGAGTGGGTATCGGGAGCCAAAATTCGACCTTGGGTAGTTATCGCTCTCTTGCAACACTTGGTGGAGTTAGGGCACCCCATGTGTCAAGACAGAGACAACCCCGACCAAGAAAAAGTGCGGATCGCAGAGAGAGTGAAAACCGTGTATGGAAGACATGAAACCTGTCCATTGCTCGACCCAGCCACTTTGGACCGCACGAATTCCAGCACAGATCCGCCCAGAGCTACACAGACTGAGGTGACTGCAACCGCAGCAGAGCGTCGCTCGGCCCCCGCGGCGACAGCCGGCAGTGTCGCCGTCACGCTCTCCGCCACAGAGCGTCGCTCAGGTGCGAAAAAGAGGGCCCATGCAGAGCCCCTGGATGCGGTCCTCCCAGAAGAACCTTTTGCGCCCCAAGTGCCATCCAAGCATGCCACACCCGAGCTCAACATAAGTTGCAACTTAGAGGGAGAAGCCTTTAGTGGTAAAATGAGACCCTCTGTGTTGAGTGCAGATTATGCTAGCACAGACGTAGGGGATCCAGAGGTTGCCCTTGTCAACAACCTCGCCACCACCACCCATGAGTTAGGGGTCCAAACTGGCACAGACTTTTGGGACCAATGGCGCACCGATTTTCTTCACTGGGCCTTTCCGTTCAGTTTGCCCGCCCCCCGCAAGCGGACCAGACTACCCACAGAAACCCAAGTTTCGCCGGGTTGCAGACGCACCTGTCCTGGGGCCCATGCAACACCTTAAACACATTACCGGTCGAGTGGAAAGCTCCATTCGCAACTCATGGGATCTGGTACCCGGTCTCCGTCGCATCACTTCAAAATGGGCCGCAGTGTGCGGGGGTGCTCTCTGGCGAAGGTGGAACACCCATCGCAAACAGATCGAACCCGTACCGGTCTCCGAATGCGTGCGTGCAGCCGAAGGACTGTACCAAAAATTGCGCCGTGGGAAGTTTGTGTCCGCCGACGGTCGTGAACGACCAATTCAGTACGACACACGCAAATTATTCTTTGCTAAGGGCCTCACGGGACCCGAAAACCAACTGTTGCAAGATGTGCGATCCATGCAGCGCACGATGCCTGGAACCATTGAAGTGCGACGTCGTATTGGTAGGTACTTGTTCGGAGCAAGGGTCGAATTTGGAGAACCTTTGTTCATCACCATCTCGCCAACCATGAGGCACAATGCACTATCCTTGAAACTGTCACGCTATCGCGCAGCAGACCCGGGCCGCAGCGCCTGCCCGGAAAGCTTCAATCCACCTGTGTGGGAAAGCCATGGAACTGAGATTGAAATCCCAGGATATGACATCCGTCGAGAAATTACGGCTCGAGATCCTTGGGCTGTAGTCCTGAGTTTCCAAACCATGGCGCGTTTCATTTTTGCACAGCTGCTCGGCATCCGCATGTGCTTTCGTTGCCCCACTTGTGATTGTCGAGATCCACAAGGTTACAGCACACATCCCACTGGCGGGGTTTTGGGGTTCGTCCGCGCCATTTGTGGCGCCATCGAGTATCAGGCTAATGCAACACCCCATTTCCATTGTAATGTGTATGCAGAAAGCATTTGGCAGGAACCATTGAGCTGCCTGCTCCAAAAAATCCAAGACAAGCACGTCGACTTTGGAGCGTTGCAGCACTTCCACGAATGGATTCACACCGAACAGCATCCCTATCCAGTCGACCACGTGGAGCAAGCATCCTACTTCGAAAGAGAATGGCAAGACAACTTCAGCAAAGCTACTCACAATCCTTTGGGCCAGTGGCCAGGTTTCCTTCGAACCGCAACTGCCGAAAGTCCTTGGCTAGAGACTCGCTCGCCGGAAGCAGTGACACAGGAAGCCCGATGTTTCATCCACGCTTACAAGAAAGCAGCTCAAGCAAGATTTTCCGCTCAGCAATGTCACTGGCATCCATGGAACCCCTCCCTCAAAGCTCGGACCCCTTTAGCCGGATGCAAAAAAAAGGGGCCCCGAACAAATGTAAGCACGGTTTCCCAAAGAAGACTAACGTGCTATCCCGCGTGATTTGCCGGGGGAACGCTCGCCGCTTTCAGGTGCGCACAAAGGGGCGTCGCAATGCCTTGGGGTTATGGTTGGGGGCTCGAGGGGACGCCTGGTTGTCTGGGACCATGACCGCCTTTTCCGTGTGGCTTTTCGGAAACTCCCACACCGCCGTGAACTATCGGGTACCACTTTGTCCAGCGACACATGACCCCGAGTGTCAACGGAACTGCCTCCAGCAGGCCACCGCGGGAAAGCTGCAACGGTTGATGCAGCAGGCGGCGCGACGAGCCACCCGCTACTTTACGGGGTACCTGCAAAAGCCACAACCAGTCGGACGGAAAGAACTCCAGCAAGCCGCCAAAGAACTGCATTTCCTCCACACTAATGCTGGCAAAGATCCGACCGGGGCACACTATCGCAAGGTGGCCAGTCGCGTGTTTGGCGACCTCGAATTTCGATGTTCCGTCCGACCAATCACCGAAGAGTTCATGTTAGCCGGTTTCGGTGACGGCCAAGATCCCACAGCTGCCGAGTGTATCCGCTCTTTCCCGGTCGTGCCGTTCGTCGGCGCAGAGTGGCTGACCTACCTCGACGGACGCAACGAAATTCGCTACAAGGTGAAACCAGCCGGATACACGACCACTGAGATTAAGCTGTCAACAGTTTACGGATGGCGTGGACAAGATACCCGTGTGTATTATCTGTCACCCTGGGAATTTGTAAAATGGTGGACCTTGAAAAAACTGCGGCCGCCACCCAACGAAGGGCCTGTCCCCTCTGAGTGCTTAAGCGAGTGGATGCCACACCATGACCCCACATCCATACCCGAAGATGGGTGGCAGTTTGGACGCGACTACTGCTGGAAAGAACAACTACCGACTTCTCAAGCAGAAACGATCCTGCGGCTGCCAGAACACCCATTGCTCGCTGCTGCAGCAGAGTACTATCTAGAACGACATTCCGAAGCCTTAGTTCCCTATCCAACGGTCTGCCCACTGCCTCGTCCGGACATGTCGAAAGAGGACCAGGCACGACTACTGAATGTGTATCTCCGCCCTTGGACTTTGGACGCCAATGCCGTGAGCTTGCGTGTGCCACACATAACAGCTTTGGATCTGTCCTTTGAAGCTCGAACCGCCAATAGGCCCACCCACCGTTTTCACACTAAAATTTCTCCCGGTGCGCGAAGCCATCAGACCTCATGGAGAGAATACATTCACTCCCACATCGTGTCGCACCATGCAAAACGAACGATCCAAAATTTTTTGGCCGCGGCCGAGTGCTCCCCAGAAGAAACGGACCCAGTAGAAGCCCCCGTAGACCATCCCCACCCGGAAGTTGACACGTCTTGGGTCGATGTGGCCACGGTCCAAAAGTTAACCCAAGGCATTGGTTTCGAGTACTCTAAACGTAGCAATCCCGCTGTGCAACAAATTCTTGCAACCTGGGGGACTCAGACACCAGCTCAGCAGATTGCTTGGAAAGTGAGCCCTGGCATACCCGAACTCCCGCCCTCCGACACTGCCGAGGCAGCGCGTCGCGCCACTCCGCAGTTTGCAGCAGGCGGAGACAGGGCCCGTGCCCACGCCCGAACAGAGCCAGTTCCTGCAGGCCATCATAAACCGCTGCTTAACAGAAACCACCGAAGAACAGACCCAGCGGATCGGCAAGAGTGAACCCTGGAGAGGAATTTGCCATGGTGTCCCCGGCGCAGGCAAGAGTCAAACCTTGAAATGGCTCCGACGATTCTTTGAGGACCTCTGCGGGTGGCACCACCAGACGGAATTCGTCTATCTAGCCCCTCAAAATACCCAGGCCGCGCTAATTCAGGGCATGACGCTCCATGCGTTCGCGAACATCCGCATCAAAGCCAAAGGCCATGGCGGCGAACGAGAGCGAGGGCCCGACCACTTCGTCCAGTACCAACGGTTGCGTTGGCTCGTGCTCGACGAAATTTCCACAGTCGGCCTCGAAGTCCTAGCCACCCTCGAAAAAAAGGTCGCCCAAGCCACCCGAACCAAAGGCACTTGGAAGAACAACGGCAAGGGCGAGGCGCGACCGTTCGGCGGCCTCAACCTCATCCTGACAGGCGATCTCTGGCAGTTTCCACCTGTAAAAGCCACCGCCATTTTCCAAAACCCCTTCGCCGGGGGCGCTTCCTGCCAGGTGGCCGCGCTCCAAAAGGTTTTGTGGTCACGGACTGAATCCGGTCTCCACGCACTCTTCGAGTTGACCACCGAGCAACGTTGCGTGGACCCCTGGCTAAGCCTAGTCTTGAGACAAGCACGCCACGGCGCCATGTCGCAGGATGTATGGTGCTTTCTCCATGGGTTTCCGACCCGGTACCCAGGTGCGTGGGACTTCGACGCCAAAGTTTGCCTCTGCGGCACGGCTGCCTGCCAGACCCTCCCCCTTGCATGGGCAACAGCTCCACATTCACCCTGGGAAGCTCGCTTAGAACAAGAATGTCCCCAGTGCCGAATCGAAAGACGACGCAGGTGCCTGCTAGGTCGGGATCCAAAGTCCGCGAAATTTGCAGCGCAACCATTCATTCACGGTCTCAACGCAGCCAAATACATAGCCACTAATCTCAGAGCTCGGGAAGTAGCAGTTAGCCAACAGCAAACCATCCTCTGGGTGATCGCCGCTGACACCCCTCTTTTCCACTTGGACACCGATGCACCGGCTGAGTTGCAAGCTCGGAAGAGCAACTGGCTGCAGCGGCATGACCAAGCCACCGGTGGGATTGTCGGAATCTTGCCCTTGTTGCCTAACATGCCTATACGTATCACCCAAACCTTACCAGAACTAAAACCGTTTGGACTCTTCAAAAATACCCGTGGCACCCTATACAGTTGGACCTTGCACGAACTTGACATTGCACGACTCTCCCGCACGACACCCGGTGCAGAACTGGTCCTGGAAAAACTACCCTTGGCGCTCTACGT